TCCTCTTGCTCCTGGCTTCGCGGGGTGGGGGGGTGACGTGTGGGGGCGCGCTTAAAGGGAGGTATACACACCTCGTTTCAACTACATGCAGCCATTGGGTGTGTTTTGAGCTATGGTGTATATATTCTTTTTCAGAAATAAAATTTATTTACTTACCCAAAAAAAAATAAGAGGGGGGTAAAATATAGCTTCATGAAATTAATTGCTTAACATGGCAAAAATGAGGATGTTTTCATTAGTAATGAAAAATAAGGATTTTAGTGGCAGTATGGGGGCTGTTCAAACTATATGAACCATTCTTGAAAGGAAAATATTGCAGGTCTTGTTGCAGATTTAAAATGCTGAGACTAGTGAAACAGATAGAAGAGAAAAAGGGGGAGCAGTCTAGAGTTACACGCATGTTCTAAGGCCTAATACCCACGAGATGATGCCTCACACACCATACAACATTTTGTGAGAGTTCATTCCATGTTAAAAACTTCTAGACTAAGGAATCTAGACCAAAAGGCGTGGACCTTAATTTGGAACTACTAGACTCATGAAACATGACCTGAAAAACATAAGTAAGCCAATTTCAAACACTGCCTCAAAGAGGAGAGTGGCAAGCTGGCAGCTTCGAAATTCTTTCTGCATCTAATCTTTTACACCAGAAACGAATTACTTCATATTTATTCAAAAACGAAACCCAACCAAATGTTCTAATTCACCTAGTAATACTGAGGATAAGTGGAGATATGGTACCAGTCATCATTGGGCATAAAGTTTATAAACAATTGAAACTGTGTTTCAAATGCTTTAGTCGGCTCGCAACTCATCAATCTTACAGATCCCATCATAAGTTAACAAAAATTACCAATGCATGTTGTGGTACCATAAATATACTTTGAGAGAACCTTATTGGAAGCAACTGTGACACAAACCATGTGGGATCTATTCTCCAAACCCATTTAACCCTCCGACGGAACTATGATATGAGAATGCAGAAAAAATTATTTTAGAGCAAAGACACAGACCTGTAGCAACATATTCAGGGGCAGCATAGCCCTGAGTACCCATAACCTGGGTAGATACATGAGTCAGATCACCTGTTGGACCAGCTTTTGCCAAACCAAAGTCTGAAAGCTTTGCATTGAATTCCTAAGTTTATGGAAAAAGGCATAGAAAATAGAAATAATTAAGAAATGAACCTGTCAAAGCCAGATTGAGATGAATAAAGACATTCAGAGGATAGGAGAAAAAACGCATCAAGCGTTTTGGTAATTTTAAACAAATCAAATTTAACAGGTCCCCAGAAAACATGTAAGCTGAGCCATCTGCTCATGACAGGAATGAAAAGCAATTGTCATTGTCAAGCGTACCGCATCTAACAGGACGTTAGAAGCTTTAAAGTCACGGTATATGACTTGTGATTCAGAGTCATGCAGAAATGAGAGCCCTCGAGCAGCACCTATGGCAACTTTAATCCTTGTTGCCCAAGACAGAGGTTGGGCGCCCTCTGTAAAAAAAAGACAGTTTCAAGCAGAAATCTTTGTCATTGGCAACTTATGCTAATTTCAGCAGTAAGTTATAACAATATGCATACAATCATAAACATTGGCCAAAACAAAGAAACATTCCACCAAGAATCTTTTAGAAGGGGAAAATTACTTCTAAAGAGATGATTCTCCAAGCTGCCTCTGGGCATGAATTCATAGACCAATAATCGGTTTTCACCTTCCAAACAGTAGCCAATAAGTTTGACCAGATTTGGATGATGGAGTCGGCCAAGATAATTTACTTCTGACTGCAACAAACAAGCCATCAACACAACTTTAAAACAAAAGAATTAGGAAGAAGAAGAGTATATAGTCTATCATAGAACAAACCTACCAGCCACTCCTTATGGCCCTGGAAACCATGAGGTTTAAGCTTCTTCACTGCAACTACAATTCCTGATCCTGGTCTCCCAGCAGTCAGGGTTTCTTTGTCCAGCCATCCTTTGTAGACAAAACCAAAGCCACCTTCCCCAAGAAGACTGCTGGGTCGGAAGTTTCTCGCAGCATTGCTAAGCTCATTGAAAGTGAAGGCCTTCAAATGCGGAGATGATAATATTTCACTCTCAGACATTGGAATCGGCAGAATTCCTCTTCTAACCTTTTCTGGAGATGTCTTGATCGGCAAAGTGGGAGGAGGCAATGGATGGCTACTTTGGCTGGAACATTCAGTGGCCCCTGAGAGAGCAAATCAACATGATAATTTGCAACCAGTAGAATACGAAAAACCAATCTAAAATCAAATTTAAATACTAACAAGCACAAAACAGGAGAGTAGGGACATATGGTATGCTGTCTAGCAAGGACAGAAACTGACATGTGATGTAACTATAATAACTCACAACCAAAATCTCAAACTAGAAATTTACATAAAGGAGCAGAGCTTTGGTGCTGTCTTTTTTTTTTTTGAACGCGGAGCTTAGTTACCATTTTTGGCTTTTATGACAGCCTTGAAAAGAAATACAAATTTAACAGCCACTATGTGTTAATGGTCAGTAATACCAAGGCTAAGCGCGCAATGGTTGTTAAAACCCAAACGTCATTTTTTTTTGCACCTTCTTAACTAAAAGATTCTTCTTACACTATTAAAACACTCTCCCTAACAGATCTCCTCATATACTCTCACATCTTCAAGATTTGAGCCAAGGTCACATTAGATATTATATCAAAACATGAAAGGGAAATTGGGATTCCTTATTTGAAGTGAATTTTTAGTTATTTTTCATTCATTGCTCTTTGACTCCATTTGAGTGAAATTTGTAAACGGTCACTTGAAATTTACATTTCTAAAGTTCTTTACGTTACCAGATTTCACATTTCACTATTTAATAAGAGGGAGCCTTGTGCATTAGGCACGACATAACGAAAATATCTTGTTGTTTGAACATGATTTATTCAGAATATTTCATTCCCCCATTATTTATTTGAGTTTGACCTCATTTATGACCAAAATAGTGAAAATTAGCAAATCAAAGTGTTCCCTCTTGTTGGCAACTTAAAAATAAGATTCATCAATTATAGTAGGATCACTAGTATGACTTACAACATCCAAAGAAAAACAATTTAAGATTGTAGAGAAACATTTGAAATGCCAAAATTTAGATGATGTGTGAATCATGATGATGACAATGACAATAATAATGATAATAATAATAATCACATGGCTCTACTCTCCAATTTCGTTTTATAACATCCTTTGCTTGTGCATCCGTGTTTCCACAAACACAACGTAACATTAGACACCACTATTATTCATACCACAATTCAGTCAGGCTCTTATCTCTATTCAAAAGAGACCGAGGCACCGCCTATGTTGAGGAGAGACGACTAGATGGATACTCAACTCTAGTCATCATGCCATGTACCCTTCAGAAACCTAGCGATGCACATATCACATTCAGATACCAGATCAAGAGATATTTCTCAATATTTTCCTGGGCTCAAATAGGTTTGTGCAATCGGCAGGGATAGGTTTCATAAAAGAAGCATTCTGGGAAAAAAAAAGATTTGAGGAGTAACTTATAAGGAATCATATTCAAGGCACCGTGATGATCACCTCAGTTTGGCAAGCTATGCAACTGGTGTTTGGGATTGGTGCAATCTTGATTAATGGGGTGATGAAATGTGGAGATTTATTTTGGTAGAATGTCTAGTGGGTGATACTGGCATTAAGCTTACATATCCACAGTCACAAGAAGATTTTTCCTCTTATCTACTTGTAGTATTTATAGAACATATCTGTTCTTTAGTTTTTGTGATCTGTATCTATATTGCATTCGCAATATATATGAGACATTTTTCGTTTTTGGAGCTTTTGTATTCTGTTTTAGGTCATGTCATGATTCATTGGCCTCAAAGTTTAAGCATGCACCCAGTTCTACTTTTGAGTCGAAAGACAAATTTTCAAGGAAGGTTAAACTAATATCATACACATTAATCCGTTAGGCATTTTGAATTTCCTTGTTTTAGAGCATTGGAGCTTGCCAATATAATAGGCTACAAATAGAAAACTTTGGTACGTAGTTTTCCTCTCTTTAAAATTGATTATCTTTCTCCTCTTTCTTACTTCATGAATTCAAGGGCCCGAAAGAGGTTTTGGCTTATCAGTTAGGCTTCCTCATCAAAATTCTTTATTTCTGCCAAATCACTTAGATTGAAGCACCCGCTGTTGCCAACATTGATCATATCATCACTAGTTGAACTTGACGTGACCGAATGTATGGCAAAATAGATGAAATATAATGTCCTCAACCATCGACTAATGCAACGAAAATGACAAATAATTTTCTCAGCTCCCTTACATGTCCAGCAACAATTAGGACAAATCTAAGCAATAGACACCAAACAATAATTACTTGAGCCAGAAGCATCAAATTTCTTTAGTTTACAATTTCTCCAAATCCATTCAATTAGGTGCCAAATTTTGCATAAAACCCCACTGAACCATCTTCACTGTAGAAAATATCATCATAGCATCGTTGTTAAAGAAAGATACCACAGTACTTTGACAAAGTAATTGCATGACGTGATAGTTTCTTCATTCTGTAGACACCAGAAGGGTTGGTTCATATAAAAATTGTTCCTCATGCTATCGTTCGATTTTTGTTTTTTGGTTCAACGGTCAAAGGTGTCCGATGCGGCCTACGCACATCTCGACTAATCTCCTCTTCGGTCTGGTTAAAGGCAGACCATCACGCTAGGACTAGGATATTCATAAGAGATAACTGCCTCATGAACTGGTCCCAAAGAGTTTGTCAAGATTCGAATTCAAGACGTCTACATTTATAGCTCGTTCCTGTTACCACTTGAGCTACTTGTTGAGTTCCTATCGAAGGAAGAAATAGCATAGGAAAAGGGGACATGTACACTTTGAGAACCATGGTTTAAAATAACAGTATATGAAATCAACTCAAAGGGTACTAAGATACNAATTTCTTTAGTTTACAATTTCTCCAAATCCATTCAATTAGGTGCCAAATTTTGCATAAAACCCCACTGAACCATCTTTACTGTAGAAAATATCATCATAGCATCGTTGTTAAAGAAAGATACCACAGTACTTTGACAGAGTAATTGCATGACGTGATAGTTTCTTCATTCTGTAGACACCAGAAGGGTTGGTTCATATAAAAATTGTTCCTCGTGCTATCGTTCGATTTTTGTTTTTTGGTTCAACGGTCAAAGGTGTCCGATGCGGCCTACGCACATCTCGACTAATCTCCTCCTCGGTCTGGTTAAAGGCAGACCATCACGCTAGGACTAGGATATTCATAAGAGATAACTGCCTCATGAACTGGTCCCAAAGAGTTTGTCAAGATTCGAATTCAAGACGTCTACATTTATAGCTCGTTCCTGTTACCACTTGAGCTACTTGTTGAGTTCCTATCGAAGGAAGAAATAGCATAGGAAAAGGGGACATGTACACTTTGAGAACCATGGTTTAAAATAACAGTATATGAAATCAACTCAAAGGGTACTAAGATACAATGATTGCGGCACAACTGAATTATATTGTGCAATACATACAAAATGATAGATAGAAAAAGAAGAAAAAGTTGGACATAATGAGGGTTTCAAGTGATATTGAAGCCTTGCAAAATAGTATATGTCGATACACCACAAGACAAGGACAGTGACTCTATAGGTTTAGTCCATTTGACCGAGACGTCTCTCATTCAACCATCATACTTTACATAGAATGTGGAATGATATTGTAATAGAAATTTCCANTTAAAAAAAATAAAAAATAAAAATAAAAAAAATTGCACGTATCGTGCGTTTCGTACCGATACGTATCGTATCGTAAAAACGTATCGTGTATCGGACGATACAACGCAAAAACGATACATAANAAGACAAGGACAGTGACTCTATAGGTTTAGTCCATTTGACCGAGACGTCTCTCATTCAACCATCATACTTTACATAGAATGTGGAATGATATTGTAATAGAAATTTCCAAGTTGGAAAAGACTTGACTATGTCGTATCACACTTGGTAGATTTTTTAACCATTTTGAGGATTGGTCCATTGTTGTGTGATATCTGTATAACACCGTTGACTTGTACTATAAAAGGGTACTAGAATTTATAAAATTTGTTTTTAATGAATTTGTAACTTGTAATGTCTTAGATTTCACCCCTTTATAGAACTGCATTCGCTTCAATAAATGTATTAAGGAAAAAAGGTGATGAAAACAAGAGACACACTCAATATACTTTGTTCTCCCAAAGATCCATCTCTTAAGATGCTAATTATAAAACAAATAAAAGCCCGCTTTATAGTGAAGCTCAAAATATAGCCAACTATAAATAGTTGGGACAAAGGTTTTGTTGCGTTGAGTAGAGTTATCTAAAGGAAAAAATATTTTTCAAAGGGTTTTCATTTATAATACTAGACAGTAATGATAAATTCATTCACTTATATGTTAAAGTCCATTTTTAACATTTAATTTTATATCAATTTTGGAATTGTGATCGGTCTCATGACTCAGATCAAGATAGTTTTTCGCCCAAATTTTTAGGAACCACAATGCCTCATCACATTTAAATCAAAAACAACTAAATCTAATCAAGCACCAGGTTACGTCTTGCCACAATTCATTGATAGATTTTGCACCTTTCGTCAACTCAAACATCCACTTAATTGAAAAACAACCTACAACAAATCCTTTCTGCAATTAAAATTCTTGTTTCTTTTGGATTCACACATCTTGATATATTCCAAGGTAAAAAAAAGTATGTTAGTTCTGAATTGAGTTGTACTTTAGCCATAGCAACAACTTATCCATCAATTTTGGAAAATCAATTCATTGAATTCACCTTATGGTGCAAAATGAGCAACACAACATAACTTATATGGACTTGTCAACCAATTAAATATATATTTACCATAAGAGTCCACTATTGTAAATAACAATCTACATAAATGGAATACAAGTTAAAAGTATAAGCATTGCTATAAATGTTGACTAAGTTATCGACATCTAAAACCTACATATGGTTTTCAAATAGTAATCATCTTCCCTTTAATTGACAATCTTCTTAGATCTCTAAGCTACAAGCTCTTTCACAGGAGTATTCTGATAAATAGAACCGCAAATGAGCCAAGTTGTGCATTGATGATCTTTGGCTCAACACATCCCTTCCATCTTGTTCATTAAGGTAAGAAGACCAGGCTTGAGTTCCTCGTCCTACTTTTAAGCTCGATTATTAATCAATCAAAACCCTTGCAAGATTGAGCTCACCATGATCTTTGACTATGAGAAGCATACCTTTGCCTCTCCATCATAGGAATGCAGGGGATGGCCTTCATCACAT